TGTATGAATCAAGACAAAGTGGGTTCTGGCTGTGTTAATACTAAGGCTACTTTTTGTTTCATGTCAGAATTGAGGAAGGTGCCAATCTCTTCATCCTCTGAGTGTTATCACCGGGCCAGTAGAGGATCACGCTAAAACCAGGATCTGAGAGTTAGAAGAGAGCAGGACTAAAAACCATGCAGCATACCTGGTTTTAGTCAAAGGATACACCCCAAAGGAAGCTACTCTGGTGCTTTCCCAAGATGAGAGCACCCGGAATGAAAACTGCTGGGAAACTGTCACGATGTGAGCAAACATCATTAATGGTCAGGAGTTCAGTATGTGCAGAGTGATACTGGCAGATTGGGAAGTAAAAAACATTGGACAGTTCCACACAGTTCCATGTCATCCTACCATTGCCCCAAGACAAGGTCAGAAGTACACAACAGGCAGTGAATAAGCCATATTTCCCATAGCAGCAAAGGACGTGGTCAGGAAAACAACAACAACAACAACAACAAAACCCTGAGAGAGGAAAAGTCAGAGACCAATGGTTTTAATAATCGTGAGCACTGGGTTTGAAGGGAGGCAATTGTAGTTAAAATCTTCTTAAATGCACTTCTCTCTGTTGTCTGGAAATTACTGACACGGTTTTATTTCTGCATGTTAGAACTCTGGATACAATTACAGGAGCACCTTCTAAAATTCATGATCATTTTGTATTCATAGCAACTCACACACCATAACTGCCATACTAAATTAACTGGCTTCAGTATGCTTCAAAAGCAAAATAATTTCAAACATCCATGTGGACATGAATTTTCTCTTCTAAAGGAAACGTAAATTCTATAAATGATATTAACTGGCACCAAACAGTAAAAAAAAATAAAAAAAAAAAACAGAAATACTGCTTATTCGGTCTTAGGGCCCACAGTCATTTGAGCATCATCAGAATGCTATCTATCTGAAGAGGTCACCCATACAGAAATGACTTTGAGAATGCTATAGGTGGTATACAACAAATGGAGAAATCTAAGATCATCAGAACACATGGAAATTTGTCTGTTTGATTTTCCCATATGTCACTGCTTCTAAACATGTACAACCCTACACATACTAATTAAACAAGCACTGGCATGCATGAAAAATTTCCAGTTGATAAACTAATTCGCATGGCTAGTGAAATTTGAGTCTAAAAGTATGTTTATTAACAAAAAGTTTCCAAGGTAATTTTGTTAATGAGAAAAATGAGGAATCTTTATGCTCATTTTTTCATCTATTCTACCTTACACATCTAATCTAATATTTTATTTTCAAATATATAACTTCACCATTAACCAAAGAAGGCACTGATTTCTATCAGGTCTTGACACATATCTCTAAATTTCTAATGACATCTGGAACTGAGAATCTGTGTATTAAAATGTCTGTTTAAGGATGCAGGCATAAAGACCATTCCTCACTGGTACCAGTTTAATCACGAAATGCTTTTAGGCAAAAGCTCTGCTACCTTTGAGGACTTAAATAACCCTAGAAGCTATAAGGAAAAGTTAGAGTTTATGGACAATACTATCATATTTTAGCACTTCTGGATTCATGCATAGCAAAGCAACCCAAGTTAGAATGAAGAAACTTGTAAGTGGATTAAAACTGTGAGGGCTTCAAATGTCACCATTAAGATCATATGAAACATCCCTCTGATAGAGATGATTCTTTAAAGTTAAGTTATATAAAGGTATATGCTGTTAGAGAGGTTTTCAAAGGTAAAAAAATATACTTCTGTAAATTGAGTTAGCATCCACCCACAAACAGGCTCATATTTTCACTATCAAGTCCTGCTCACTCCCTATTTTTACCTAAAAAGATTATTATATAATAGCAATTGTTATTAGTTTCAGTTCAGTCTGATTTAAAGAAATATTATTTTTTCTTTAGAATCTTATAGTATTCATATATATATACATATATATATATATATAAAACTTTAATTATCCATTTATCTGTTGAGGAATATCTAGGTTGATTATAATTTTTCCTACAGTGAGTAAAACAGCAATAAACATGAGTGTGTGGTTATGTCTGTGATGGGGAATACAGTTCTCTGGGTATGTGCTCAGGAGTGAAATAGTTGGGTCATATGGTAGTCCTATTTTAGTTTTTAATATGATTTAAAGAAATACAACTGCAATGAGAACACTCAATAATAAAATTTTCTGTCCTTTTGTATGTACTAGATTGACAAAGGTAACATAAAACTTACATAGTTACTGACAAGAGCAGGGGCAGAATTGTACTCTGATCTAGTCTACTAAGAAAGACTTTTTTAGAAGAACAAGATTTATACTTTTTAAACTTTTATATGAATGTATTATATATCATGAAGATTAAAATAATTCTACATAAAGAAATATATTTGCAAACCTGTTTAAGCAAATTTATAGCATTTAATGTATTTTATTAAAGGAAGGGAACCTTGTACAATCTGAAACTGCAAGTAGTAGAATTTGTTCAGTAGAAATAAGTTTCATGGCAAATCATGTTTTAGTTGGACCATGAAATATTCTTTACTTGTAACAACTCATCTTACTGATGTCTGTTGCTTCAGACATACCAATAATGATGTAAAAATTATGTTAATTAGAGACAGGAGGCAGCCTGTATCAATTATTTAAATGCCACAGATTATGTGGCTACCAACTTAATCATTTCATATTCTACTCACATAATGATCTTACAGTATTTTTAATCAATGTAAATTGAAATATTTTCACATCAAATTTTACCATTTTTGCCAGCTAAGTGGTTAGTAATTAAAAATGTTTCAAGAAACTGTGGTATTTACAGTTGTGAGGAATTTAGGATTATGCTTCACTTTGATTTGTTAATTTTACATTTGCTTAAATATTCAGCACAATACAGATGATCTGAAAAAGAGAAAAGATGAAACCAAAGAGATACTAAAATATAGCAATATGTGTAACCAAAAAGACAGGGGGATAAAAGGAGGGAGAAGAAGGCATGGGGGACCAGGAAGGTTGAGTTGAGATAAGAATAGAGGTGAGCAGGATGAGAGATACCATAATAGATGGAGTCATTATAGGCTTGAGGAGAGAGCTGACACTAGTGAGATCTCCAGAGATCTACAAGGATAACACCAACTGGCAAACTAAGCAATAGTGGAGAGACTACATTAATTGCCCCCTTTTTGATGACAAGGTAGATGACTACCTTATATGCCATCCTAGAATCTTCATCCAGTGACTGATGGAAGCAGAGACAGATACCCACAGCTAAACACTGAACTGAACTCCTGGAAGCTAGTGGCAGAGATGGAGGAGTGATGAGCAAAGGGATCAAGACCATGCTTGTGAAAGCCATAGACAGCTGACCAGACAAGGGGGAGCTATTGAACCCCAGACTGATGGCTGAGAGGCCAACAGGAGACTGATCCAGACTTCATGAATGTAGTGTCAGTGAGGAGGCCACAGAAATCACTGGAGTGATCAGTGTTTACCATGGAGTGCAAATGATCTTTGGGAGTCCATTCCAAATAGAGGGATGCTCTCTCTCTCAGCCTAGACACGTGGGGAAGGGCCTAGGTCCTGCTCTGGATGAAATGACAGACTCTGGAGATCCCCTCAAGGAGTACCTCACCCTCCCTGGGGAATGATATGGGGATTGGGTGGGGGGCTGGAGGGACAAGGGAGGAGGGGTGGGAGAGGGAGCTGGGATTGACATGTGAAGCATGCATGTATCTAATTCAAATAAAAATATATACTGAGGGTAACAAAAAGTACAAAAAGGACTGAGTTTCATAATAGAGAAAAATTTTAAGGACGGAATGAAATAAAACTATGTTTAAAACAGGATAAAGATAAAACTGTAGCCCATAAAACACATTGCTTAGTCAACAATATAAATTGGTTGTCAAAAATGTACAGTCATAGACAATCACAAATTGGTTAATGAGGCAACATCTTTAATATATATATATGTATATATATTCTTAGGTGATTTATGAGCATCATAAAGTTCATTTCCACAAACTTAATGATACAGATGAAATATAGGACATACCCTATTAATAGAATAAAACATGGCATTTATAAGCTACTATCACTGTAAAACAGTGATCAGTTTTATAGTACCATTTTCTTTACAGGTATGAGTAAAGACTCAAATCATGAATACATAATACAGTGTATGGAATACAGAAGTCGTTAACATAGACATTTGTTAACATTATGAAATATAAAAATCCATACATACTTGGATATGAGGCACTTTTAAATACTATCAGAACAGTAGGTGGCTTGCATCAGCATGACACAAGATCCTGCATGTTGTATTCATTACAGAGATGTAAGCATGTAAAAGGAATTTGCATCCAAATCCTACAGGAGCAACATCGTATACCTGGTGTGTCTAGATGATGTCCAGATGGTAAGACTGTGAATTTCAAAATTAGTGTTTTGAGAGAAGGGGGAGCTGAAATGGCTTACTGTTTTGAATTTTTCTTTTCCGTTTGAGATTATAATTACATCATTTCTCCCTTCCCTTTCCTCCCTCTAAACCTTTCCACCTGAGTCTTTTTGCTCTCTTTCAAATTCATATCCTACTTTTTTCAACAACTGTTACTGCATGTATATATGTTTATGTATATACACATATAACCATAAATATGATCTGCTCAGTTTGTATAATGTCACTTGTACTTATGCTTCCAGGACTAACCTGGAATTATTTTATATTTTCTATATACAAGAATACTTTTATCATCTATACATTATTTGTCTAATAAGAAAAGGGTTATTTTAAAAGAACAAGACATGATATTTTAAATTTTAATCTGAATATTTGTATGTTATGGAGCTTCCATTTTAAATTACAATTGCACTGAAATAATTCTCAAGCAAAACACATCTTATCACTTATAATACCAATGAAATCAATCAGTTTGGCCTGAATATATCCAGTGGGCTTTTTTCTTTTAGGTGGTCAGGTTAAAAAATTTTGCTTACTTTACCACAATATTTCCTAAGCTTCGAGCCTTCAGTTTTTGCATGTTGTCATCCAAAATCATAACTGTAAAGAAAAATATGAGCACAAATATGAATACAATTATGAACACAAATACTAACCCCAAACTTCAAATATTTTCCCATATTTTCTAAGTTCAATTCTAAAGTTTCTAGCTCAAAATATTTTTTGTATTCTTGCATGACCATGAAAACATGTAAGTAACCTAAAATTTGTTTTCTAAAATTATAAAAGGTCATGCATTTGAAATGTAGCAAGATCGTAAATTGTCTCAAAATCTCCCTAAAATAAATTTGTAAATTTAACAGCCCACAGAATTTTATTTTATGGTTATGTCCATGTAAAACATTAGTCATATGTTTACCTTTTAAAAACTACAGAATTCAGTTTAAAAGTACAGCCAAATACACGTACAATAAAAACAAAGAAAAGCATATCTATTTGTGAGATGTAAATTAGGAAAATTCATGTTTCCAAATATTATTCTAATATTTTCTGTGATATCCTCAGAAAATATGGAAAGTGTTTAATAGAAAATGTAGTGTCCACAATATAGTACATTAAACATAAAATGAATTATAATCATCTAGATTCTTTGTATAGAGTCTTTATATTTCTTCACTTAGGTCGCTCTTAAGCAGCTAAGAGAAGACGGTAGCCCAAGACAAAATTAATCACCTAGATTTTTCATAAAGAAAGGCTTCCTTTCCTTTCCCAAAGTAGCTTGCTTTTTACCATAATTCTGTGTATCACATAATGCTTTCAAATGTCTGTATAACTATAAAACAAACCAAAAATATATCAGTCATAAAGTCCCCGGTTCCTTAAGTACAGTGATTTTCTGACAATGAGGAATTTCTGTATTAAAGTGAGACATCAAAGCCTAATTCTTTCATAAGACAGTATAAAAATGGAACAGATATACTAGGGGAAAAATGTATTTAACATCTGTCACAATTGGCAACTCCTAAAAATGTCTCAGCACAAAGACAGTTTTCTGACCAAAAATTGAGGTGACAACTGTTCAGATAAGGGATTCAGTAGATATGGGCTCATTCTCCCATGATAGGAGAAGTCTAGACTTCACAGAATTATAAAACAGATGCCTGTGTGCAAGGAAAAGTCCAATATGACTGTCTATGCATGAGCTGGACATGGACAAATGCAATAGACAAGCTAAAGTGGGTGGAGAAAACTCATGAGACTTCAATGATATATAAAGAACTATAGACAACTAAGCAAATTGAGAGTAGGAGAAGTAGTCTTCTCTCAAGAAGAACACCTATATTGGTTATCCTATGTCAAAAGTTCATTCCTGAAAATATACATATTGTAACATGTCTTAGTTACAGTTCTTATTGCAGTGATAAAACACCTTGACCAAAAAGCAAGTTGGGGAGGAAAGGGTTTATTTTGCACACAGTTCCATAACACTTTAGTATAAAAATCAGTGACAGCAGACACTCAGAAAGGTTAGAAACCTGGCGGCAAGAGCTGATGACATAGAGGCCATGGAGGGGAGCTGCTTACTGGTGTGATCCCCATGGCTTGCTTAGCCTGCTTTATTATAAAATTCAAGACCATCAGCCCAGGGATAGCACTACCCACCATGGGCTATGCCCACCCACATTGATCACTAATTAAGAAGATGCCCTATAGCTGGATCTCATGGAGACCATTCCTCAATTGAGACTCCCTCCTCTCTGATGACTCTAGCTTGTGTTACGTTGACATGAAACTAGTCAGTACATCACATTAAGCAGAATGACCCTGGAAACTAGCTTTTCCTCATAAATGTACTAGATAAAATTGTGTGACCTTATTATATTATGCATATAAAACTTTATATATTAAATATATTATATGACCTTTATGCCTCATTTCCCTTTTTTGTAGTTATGTCTGAATCTGTATCAAATGATCTCTCTGACTTCTCTGAAATGTTTCCAGCACTAACAGCTGAGAATTCATTCCATATTTGGTGTGGTAGTACCTGTGTAACTGCTTGGTTTTATAATATCATAATTTACCAGCCCTAGAAAGCCATACAATTATAAATGGCAGTTAGAAAACCAAATTTTGAAAAAGTTAAAAATTTTACAACTAAGGGGGGTGAGTCCCATAGAAATTGTTTGACTATAATAGTCACTGCAATAAATATAAATCAAATATTGGGAGAATATATTATTGTTATATATATATCATTGTGAAGACATATTTATTTATAATTATTTACTCTGCATTTAATTTTAGCCAACAAGATTCAAAACCCTTTTCAACATTCTTCACAAGCATTATGGAAGAAACTATTGAAGCAAGGAAATAGAGAAAACCACAGTGATTTGTATGTTCTTGAAAAATTAAAGGGCTACAGTACTATAGAAATGATGTACAGTCTCTGTGTGTGCTTCACGCCATTCATCTCTAAATATTTACAAAGCTAAAAACTAAATATATAGCATCATAACTGAAATTATATATGTAAATGCTGGTCACTTCACAAGTCATATTTCAAACCTGTATCCTTAAAAGACTCTTCAAGTGACATTTTCTTGATTTTTAGTCATTCAAAAGAAGACAGCAGAAGACCATAGTGCTATTTTTATGGCAAAAAATGAGATATTAATTTCTAATATATGACATTCTTAAAAATGAGTACTTTTTATACACTAGGTACAAGAAAATACCAAAGTCATAAACAATGCACGCTTCAAATTGCCAATATCATGACTTACCATTGTAGCCTGGAACACATTGTCCTGCCTGCCCTGGTGGAGGTGTTTTGGAGTTACCCAGTCCAATACATGATGCTGTTATTGGAGATCCAGTCTCTAGGGGAAAAAACACAGCTTATCACTACCTTCTTCATCATTGGGTTATGTCACTTTAGTACTTGTGCACAATTCCTTTAGTACTGGACCCAGATTAGATTGTCCCATAATTTCATCTCATAAAGAATAGAATGCACTCTACCTGCAATCTAATATTTAAGATACTTAGCTTTATGGTCACTGCTGCAGATCTGCAACATGAATTCAGAACCACACTTTGTGTTTAACAGAGCCCACAAATATTCTTATATCACAAGAGAAAGCAGAGAAATCCCCATGAAGGCTTTGCAACATTGGCTAAAAGGTAAAAGAGCACTGGAAAAGCTATTCCTTCTGGAGTCATCTAAAGTTATTATGTCGTTCAATATACAGCTTATCTGTGTGCTTTATTACTGGTAGTTTTAGCTTGTTGTCTTGAGAGCCTGCATCTTGACCTGAATTTACCAATGTTTTACAAAAGAGTTTCCATGCTGTTGTTCACGGACCTACCACAGCAACAAACACAAAAAGTTCAGTGCATACTTTGCTATCCACTCAGCCCCATAGGCTTACAATCAGCTCCTATAGATTAAGTGTTAAGTCTTTTGTCCCTAAACCATCTGCAAGAATAACCACAGCTCACACTTGTAACCATAAATTCTGAAAGCAAATATGTTTTGGGGAAAACCATTTGTAACATAAACATTTGGAGTCTGTGGTAGAATATTATTTTAAGATCTGTTACTTTCATTTATTTTCCAGAACATGTGTTTAATGATGCAAAGATGTATTTGATTAAATAAAATTCACCTGTTGTCAGGAGGCTAGGTCAGCAACTGGCAGGAAGTTGTAGGGAGGAGCCAGGTGGAGAAGGGTTTACAAGGAGGGGCAAGACAAAGCATGAGAACTTCTTGGGAAATGCAAAGAGGTGAGCTAGGTGAGCTGCTTGCTATTCATCCTCTCTGGGAAGCAGGATTCTATCTCAGCCTTTGAAATCTTCAGTTCTTTAGTGAGCCAAAGATTTAAGTTAAGTTTCCTTAGGAATTTTGAAAGAGTTGGTACCTGAGGGAACAGAATTCCCTCAGGCTTCGACTCTTGCGGTTTAGCCACTGCTGGTAGCTGTGGAGCTGCAGTTGCTGAATGGGAGAGCAGTAGCTTAAAAGGCAGCAAGAATTAAAAAAAAGAAAAATCTGAAGTCAATAGGCTCTTTCATATAAATGAAGAGTCAGGATAAGAGAATAATGATAGTGAAAAAATGGCACTTCTGCGCATCTTGTTGTACATCTCAGCACACACACACACACACACACACAAACACAACCACAGGATTACCTGTGAAGACAACCATTTCCAATGCAATGAGAGAGCAGTAACAACATTGACACAAGTATTCTGATTATGCTCCTTCCACTTTGAGCTCTGCCATAGTTACCAAGTATATATGTCACTTGAGTATGGAAAACAGTCACAGTTGTCCTTTACCTTCCAGAGCAAGGTTTATAATTCACATATTAACAATATTGCCTCATCCAGTATCAACAGGAGATGTAATTTTGGACAGTAGGAATAGGTCCTATGCCTATGTCAAGTCTAAGGGATATGTGGGTCACAATCCCACTGTTGGGAGGCATCAAATGACCCTTAAATAGGAGTCACTTAAAACCATTTAGATATTTATATTGTGATTCATAAGCGTAGTAAAAATTAGAGCTATGAAGTAACAATGGACATAATTTTATGGTTGGGGGTTACCACAATGTGAGGAACTATACTAAAGGGTCCCAGCATCAGGAAGGTTGAGAACCACTGGTCTAAAGTGTAAGATACTAAACATGTGCAGATAATCAGTAACTATGACCAGTTGATTCTGAGGCTTAGAAGAGAATTAACAGGTATTTTTGCATCATACCTAATCTCATTTTTCCCATAAAATGGCATTTTATACCTACAAAATACTCATCTTATTTCTATTTCCCCTACCACATAATCAATGCAAAGAAAAAATGTACATGATTGTAAGACCTACAATGTTTTCCTCTTCATAGTTTTGAAAACATAGTCTCCTCAACTACACTTTGTAAATGATGTGAGAGATAATCACTGATAATGACAAGAGGAACACAGAGTGCAGAAGTTTAGTGCTGTCCAACACCGCAACCTGATAAGACAGTGGGACAGTGTTAGGAAAGGGGACAGACCTTCCTAGGTGCTTGTGTCTCTACCAGTGCTTCAGCCACTCCAGTTTATCTAACAGAGAAGTATTTGCTGTCATGTTTTGTCAAGATGGTCACTCTAATCAAATGGAGTTCAAACTCTGTATAGGTTTTAGCAATGTAAGACCTATGCATCTTGTTAACAGACACTTGTAGACTCCAAAAAAGAACCAGTGGTCTCTAGTGTCTACCAGAGTCTAGTACTTGTCTCCTATAACACTAACAAACAAAACTCATAACAAATAACAAGACAACTAAACTATAATTGGTCCCATCACAATATAGAATCTTTTTTTGAGTTGACTTCACAAGTAGTCCTAGCTGGTATGGAACTCTCTATGTCTATGTAGACCAGGCTAGCCTAGAATACACAGAGATCCTACTTCCTCTGCCTACTGAGTGTGTTAAAGGCATGGAGCAGGAAGCCTATATTACTGTGAAATCTGTTGTCAGCACTCTGTTCTTCCCACTTCAGATGGAAAAGGGGTGTTAAAGGAGATGGAAGAACAAAGCTTTCCTTAAATGAAAATGCTGCAAATTATTAGCAAGAAATGGCCATCACCCTGCCCTGCATGGGAAGGAAACATACACAGTTCCGGAGATGCTTATGTTATTTTCTATTTATAATGTTTCCAACTTAAGATGACTTGGTTTATATCATTATCATTTTATTATTATATTATATTAAAATATATTATTATTATTATTATTATTAACAAGCTACAGAGAGGGTATTTCCTATAAAACTAATTTTACTCAGAAAAGTAAGGATGTTAAAAAAGATAATCCATGTAGGCCACTTGAATTAGATAAGATTATGCTTTGAACGTTAGTAATTCAAATATCCTATTTAGTTAATTTAATATTAATTTGGAGTATTAGTAAATGAAATACTGCTAATAATAAGCATATGATATGATCCAGTAAAGGACAGTGATTAGGATGGTCAGGGTAATAAGGAGACTTAGATCAGAGCAAGGGGGGATGAAAATAGATGCTATTCTCTAACAGTTTTTTGTCTTTGTGACTGGGAATATCTTGAGATGCATTCTGCCACGCCATCAAGTCCACAGGTGTCCATCCATCCATATACACAGTCACCATGAACACACTGTTGATCAAGCTGGCCCAATGTAAAGCAGAATTCTTGCTAGAGAAAGCCTACCTCCCACTCTCCAGGCTCAAATCCTTAAATGCAGTCCCAAAGCTCCCCTCTGAACATCTTCTGAAAGTATCTGCTTTGTGCTACAGAAGTGATAATTTTCTGACTCGCTGTTAAAGGGGGAACCGGGAAATCCAGATGTGACATTATGATAATGATATAGTCATATTAAATAAACCAGAACATTATTTTTGAGAAAGAGACTTGGAAATGATATTTGAAGAAATCTCTACAAAAAAATGGGACCCTAGAAATAAAATGCTCTGCAAAGTACCAGATTATTTTCTGTGATAAGACCCAAACAGGAAGCAGAAGGCAAGATATTAAATAATGTGAGGAATATTCATTGGCATTTTTCCTTCTTACTGCATTAGACACTCGTCAAGGATGTCACTTACTGCCTTACACTATTTTATATTGTTCTGTGGCTTATTATCCAAATAATAATTTTTCCTTAATACTTAGAATTCTGAAGAGGAAACAAAGGTGAGATACAATAGACATAATTGTAAAATATGAATTCTGTTATATACTGAGTCAACTACTCTATTTATTTAATTCCATTTAGTCCTGCTATAAGATTGCAAAAGAAACGGTGCCCTTGCACATTGTAAATACTGAAACATAGTCAGAAGGCATGTTACTGAAAATCTAAATAACCTGTCCTAGTCATTTTAGAAGTTAAGATGAATGCTACAGACAAATTTGTTAACATTTGAGATACTTAGGAAGAATACACAGGGCAAGCAGTAAAAAGAAATTGCCCAGATGACTTCAGCACAGAAAGAAAAACATCTTTGTGACAGTGAACCCAGGTTTTCATGCTTACAATAGGAAATTGTAGTGGTACAAATTACCTAGAACTAATGTTTACTTAGCACTTATTATTTGAGAGGGGTAATTCATAGAATTAGATATAGAGTAATAAAACGACTTAAGTTTTCCAACAAAGATACAAACAATAGACAGTAACATAAAAATATCATATATGGCATATTAAAGAATGATAAATGCCCAGGGAAAAAGCAAACAGTGCATGAAATATCATGGAAGATGTTCAGCTTTACACAGACTAAGTATAAGAATGACTTTCCTGAGAAGATGATACTTGGTCAGAAACCTGAAAAGAGTAAGGGCATTATACACACTGATGAAGGGAAAATTTAGTAGGCAGGGACTTCAAGAGTCCTGGGGTAAATTAATTCCAATGAAACTGAGCAGAATGAATGAGATAAGGATTCAAAGGAAAGAAAGTCAGGGAGATCATGAACAGGAGAATTAAAATCTTCAAAATCTTCATAAGAACTTAACCTTTAACCTGGAGGACATTGTGATCTCATGTTGGATTCAGAACAAACTGTAATGAATCGTAAATATAGTCTATTTTAATATATGTGCAATATTCATGTTTTTATGTGCTGTGAGAGGATTTATTATTTAATTCCTGATGGAGGAGACAGAGAGACAGAGAGAGAAAGAGAGATAGAGAGACAGTGAGAGAGAGAGAGAGAGAGAGAGAGAGAGAATGTAGAAGCAGATAAAAAGTATATTAAAGTATATGGCTGGTAGATTTTGGTAGCTTCTTGAAAATTCAGAGATGGTCATAGAAGAATGCACAAAATTGGCAAAAGAAACAGTACCTATGG